CTGTTGCCTTATCTAAACAAAGTCTGTGACTTTTTAAGTAATTTTTAAAGGTAGAATTTCCTGAGCATTTTATTATTTTATTACAACGCTGACACTGTCCTTCCAACTCTTTTGTAATTGGATTTTTCTGTTTTGTTGCGTATATATCTAGACTGATATTGCTAATAATATGAATAGAAAGTAAGGATATTAAGTAGCCTTTTATCCATCGTTAAAAACTAATCTATACCTATGTATTTATTTTTAATTCTATGTAAATAAGAAACTGGTGCTAGAAGATCTATTTATAACTCTAAAGAAACTCTTGAGAAACCTTTAAGAAACTTTTAGTACTAGATTAGTAAAAAAGAAATATTAAAATAGGAAACTCAGTACTTTCCTGTGTGCTTAGTTTGTTTTTATAAAAAATGATAACTAATGAACTAAAGTTATTTACTAAAGTTACTTTCGGATTTGAATGAAACTTTATGCAGATAAAAATCATTAGAATATTTAAATAGAATTTAATCGTTATGTGAATGCATAATAAAAGTTCCAGTTTTTAATTTTTGTTGCTTTAACCTCAATTAAAAAAACAGTTAAAAAAGTTATTTAAAAAACAGCTGTTTGCTTTTTTTGTTTTTTTGTTCAGAAACCCTAAAGACAAGACAAGAAAAGAAGAAATAACCTTAGACAGATAAGAAAAAAACGATGTATCGAGGTTTGTTAAGAAGATTAAAATTAATATAGGTATCAGCATGTAGAGAGATGGCAGCTTCAGGAATTAATGATAAAGGTAGAAGTAAGAATATTTGAAGAGAGTGTCTTGCATATTGTATGAATGAGCTTTAGTTAAGGAAAGAAAATGCTTTAGATTGATTATATTAGTGAAACAGCATAAATAAGGAAGGCTAAAGCCTGATGATGATGCTTATGATTATGATCATAATGATGGCAATGACTATTATGATGATCATGTTGATCATAATGATGTTTATATATGCATATTTTTTCAAAATATAACATGAATTTTGAATTAAAAAAATATACCTTAGATGTTTATGCAGCCCCGGTCACAAACCTGGCCCTTACCCCAACTATATTTTATCAAAGCCCCAAACCTGGTCAAATTTCAACCCTGGTTGCTTCATATTTCTAATCTCTGTCTAAGATTATGGTTCTTTTTTTTGTGTTGTTAGTCATACCCCACATCCATTTGATCATAATCATCTCTTTTGTTTAATAATACTACACCATATAAATACTAAAATTTATATAAATATGTTAGGATAATGTATGCCAGCATATAAATAAACAGCAAAGATATGATTATACCTACATATATCAGGGTTGGAAAAAACCCAGGAATTTTTTAAAAAAACCCAACCCAAATGGTTTTTTTTTTGGGTTTTATGGGTTTTTTTAAAAACCCATCAAAATACCAAATTTTTATGAGTACAATAATTTTTTTTTTTAATTTCATAAATTCACCTTCCTATTGCTCCAATGACCACTTCAGTCAAGGGAGCAACTCATTTTTTAAAAATATTTTGTCTCAAACCTTAACATTACCATTTTTACTAACAAACAAGAGAAATAGATTGAGCACAGTAATTTCAGCAGAGGTAATTTGAACCCCAACCTTCTGGTTGCGAGCCAAATGTTTTACTACTAGTCTACTGGCACATTTTACCTATAGTGCAAAAAGGGACTCCATCAACTATAAATGATGTTAATTAATTGCACTAAATTAAAAATACGTTCAGAATATTTTTGACTAAAAAAAAAACAGTATAAAAATTATTATGACAATTGAGTTATTCAAAGTTGGTAAGACAATATAAATGTTTCAAACTAGTTTTTTTTACTAACATGTTCAACATATCATTTCAAAAACTATTTTGCACAAGTTTACAACATTTAATCAACAAGTTTGCAACATGATGTTGCAACCTTATAAGTTATTATGAATCAAGTTGACTATGAACACTTTTTAAATATTTTTGTATCATAAAAGAAAACTGCTAGCCTAATCACTACATTTTTTTTATCAGAACATTATACTGTCCAGCTTCCTGAAAAAGTTATCCACCTGATCAACTGGACTGGCAAAAAATGGATTTTTGCCTAAACTTTAGTTGTTCTTAAAATATCTAAAATAAATTTGTTAAGAACCATTACAGTGTCTTCGCCACCAAGTTTGTTTTTTTCCTTGAAGATGTTTTACCGGCTCAGTTTTGCAATGCAAATTGCAAACAGAATCAAAGTAACACATTATACAGCTCTATTGTGTGTGTGTTTCTTCACCTTTTAGCAACTTGATACTGATGTTAATTTTCAATCCGCTGTTCATAGTCACCCTTGTTGGTGGTACATGTTGTAAACTTGTAGCTGATGCAAAATATTCAAAACCTATCAAAAGACAGATGAGCACGAGTGTCATTTTTACCAACAAATCTTGTCTTTGTGAAATGCATACAAGTTTCCAACATGTTCTCTGATTGAAAGAGCAAACATGTTGCAAACTTGCTTGCACATAACTTAATTTTTTTTAAGTTTTAAAGTTGTATGTACTTAAGGACAAATCTAGTAGACTGTAGCATTTTTTTTTTGCCTAACAACTTTCCATTTCTAAACTGTAAATAAAGTTTAATAATTTTTATATATAGTATTTTGCTTGTGGCTTTCTACTGAAATTTGCAGTTTACAACATAAGCTTTAAAAAATAAAAGAGCAAATACCAATATAAAGGAATATAGACATTCGGGAGGAGAATAAAGATACTAAATAACTAGTAATGTCTTGAAATTTAGTTAATAGAATGATTTTTATTTCCTTTATAACTTATTTAATGTTTTAATACATATTTCAATAACATTTATAATAACTTGCTAAATGTTTTAAAAAAATAATAAATAACCAACTTGCTACAAAAACAGATTGATCGGTTTTGGGTATATTCTAAATACCATTATGTATATAAATACAGTGTTTACAAGAGTAATTACAGTATAAAGGTTGCACTTGCTGATAATAAAGCATTTATAAGTGTTAAAATCAAAGTTATCAGTTGTAAAATAGGACATTTTTAAAAAAACCCAAATATGTTTTGGGTTTTTTTGGGTTTTATTAGGTTTTTTTGGGTTGGGTTTTTTTGACAACCCTGACATCCATCTTTTATAATATCCATATTATAAATGCACAATGGGTGATGCGGAAGTTATCAGACAAATCTGAATTTAATTATTTGAGCATATTAATTTGTTTTTGCTGTTTTATGCATAGGCATAAATATTCTATAAAATATAAAATGAGTTATTTAAAACATAACTTTTTTGAGCGAGGTTATGCTGTAATGGTGTAGAGCCCTTGCCTCATAAGCGAGAAGTTTCAAGCTCGATCCTTACCACACCCTTTTTAGGAACTCATTTTAAAAAGAAATCTAATTGAACAAGAGAAAATTAGTCTTCTAAAATTCTCTTATTTAAATAATCTCGAATTTAAAATTTTGAAAAAATTTAAAAAAATTTTGTGAATTTTTAAAGCTCGATTACAAAAATTACAAATATATATATATATATATATATATATATATATATATATATATATATATATATATATATATATATATATATATATATATATATATATATATATATATATATATATATATATATATATATATATATATATACATAATGTTATTAATACTGTATTTTGAAGTAACTTTAATTTTTTTTTCTCAAACTGGGTCAGGAATGTGCAAGCAGTTTGTTTACTTATCCTGTTATAATAGTAACATTTTAAAAGTCATGAAATGTAGGAGCACTCTATATGTGTTCAAAAACTTGATCTTTTAAAATTATTTAAGTTTTTATTAAGTAAACTTTACAATAGAGTGTTTACAATAGAGTAGGAAAAAGAGTGTTTAAACATGTGCAAAAACTTATAAAAAAGAAAACACAAAGACTTTATTCATTTGTTAAGTTCACAATATGCATATTTACATATCATAAAAAAGCAGACAAAACATGTTTGTGCACATACTAATATGTGATCATATTGTTAATATGATCACATATTAGTATGTGCACAAACATGATTACAAGAATAAAATTGTATTAAATTTTTTATTATTTTTATTTTCAAAAATGTATTTATTAGTTTAAAAATCAATTACAAGATTATTAAAAATTCAAAACTAAAAAAAACTAAAACTAAACGTAATTATCAATTTAAAAGCAATTAAAAGTTTTGAAAAATGCAAATTTTTTTTGATTGAATAGTTTTGTTTCTGTTGGTGATAGCATTTGGTTTTTTAAATATTATTCAACTTCTCAAGGCCAAGCGGGACCCTACAGTCGAGGAGACTACTTTTATGTGTGTGTGAGGATACAACCTCTCAACTCTTTAACTCTGAAACATGAATCTTAACAAGGCTGCTGGTGGAAGAAACAAGTTGATTGCGATACTATCAGAGATTTAACTTCTTGCTTACAAAGCAAGCGCTCTACCACTAAACCACTACTGCATAAATTTATTCATGATACTACATTACTATATCATTAAGTCATTCTTATTTAAAGTCAATGAAACATTCTTTTAATATTTCCTGTTATTTTCTCTTTTTCAGTGTGATTATTAAATTGTATAATATATATTTATGCTAACAATTTTAAAAATCTTAATTATGTCTTACTAATCAAATTATTTATTTACATTTTTACTGCTATTTATCTCATAAAAATCTATGAAGAATAAAGTTAAACTTTATAAATAAAATGTAAACAAATTTTTAATGAGACTATGATTTCATACGATTAATTAGTTTAAATTTAGTAGTTTTTAAAGTAATCAATAGGAAAGCCAAGCATAACTCAATCATGTATAACATGTAATGCATTATGCATCGACATGTTATTTAACTTTATTTAAATTTACAAGGCTAAATATTTAAATTTAACTAAAGTAAAAAGTTAAATAAAAATAAAATATTTTCTATCGTTGAAAAAAATACTCACCAACATTATTTTCAAGAGAAGCTGTTGGAATATGTTTAGAAATAAGTTGTGTCACTTTTTCAACATTGCAGCAAGCATTTTTTACCATTATCATATGGTATCCTACTCCATACTTTTTTTTCAAAAAAAGAGAAGAGCCATAACATTGAAGTTTACCATTTGCCATGATAGCAATTCGATCACCTAAATATACAAAAGAAAGATAGTCAAAAAAATATAAAAAATATAAAAAATATAAAACGTTTTTTTTTTTTTTGCTTTTATAATTAAAATAAGATAAATTTTTTTTTTTTTTTTTTTTAATTTTAATTCACCTCCTCAAGGCCGAGAAGGCCACTACAGACGAGGAGGCTACTTATTTGTGGCTATAACCCTCTCTCAACTCTATAACTCTGAAACACGAACCTTGACGAACAAGGCCGCTGCGCGGAGAAACGAGTTGAGCGCGGTACTACCAGGGACGTGGTGGGGATCGAACTTGCAACCACTCATTTATGAAGCGAGCGCTCTACCACTACACCACTACCGCATATATAATATATAACCGCATATATAAATATATAAAAAACTTTATAAATTAATTTAAATGGATTAAAAAAAAAAATTAAAATTCTGAAATGGTAAATTAAAATTAGAAGTGGTCATTAAGATTAATGACACCTAAAGAAATCAATCATTAAGATTGATTTCTTTAAAAGTGTCATTAATCAAATAAAGAAGGCCTCATCAAATAAAGATCCAACCTAATACATCAGCTTCATCCATATAATGCGTTGTTAAGAGTATTGTGCGACCTTTGCGCTCTTTTTGTAATAAATCCCATGTAAATCGGCGTGCAGAGACATCCATACCACTGGTGGGTTCATCTAATATTACTATCTAAAAGATAAAACATTACATATATGTTTATGTATATATATATATATATATATATACATATATATATATATATATATATATATATATATATATATATATATATATATATATATATATATATATATATATAAACATGCTGCTGCTGCCCATTTGTGTGCATTTACACAGACTTTTTTACCATTTATTATAAACAGGATTTAGCATGCTCCTTCTCTTTATACTTTTGAACTCACGCGATGAGATACTCTCAAATCTTAACAATCTGTTAATATCTGCTTAATCAGTAATAAGATCAAAAACTTTGCTTTATCAGCTTATTAGTAATAAGATTGACAATTTTTATTTAATAACTTTGTAACTAATTTTTATTTAATAACTTCTGAATGAATCATATGTTATTTTTAAATTAGTAAAGTAACTTTTAAAGTCAGGTAATTTATTTAATTCATGCATTATAATAATAACACAATTCAAGTCCTTTGTAAATTGTGTTAAAGTATATTAATTTGTAATTTTTAAATTAGAAGACGATGATGACTCTAGAAGACGTTCCTTTTTTCAAAGGTCAAGAGGTCAAACTTTTAATAAAGTTAGTCTTTATCTCCATAACCCTTGCATCTTACAGTCAACAATATGTTACATGTTAAAGAACAAGATCATTTAAAACCTTATTTTAAAGACGAAAAAAAAAAATCTGTTTACTTTTATATAAAAAAAACCATATTGTTTGATGATCAAACTTTGATCATTTGTTTTTCCAAGTTGTTAAAAATTTATTAGGAGGTATGTAATTAAACAAATAATACAAAAATAAGGTTGTATTTGTAAAGTTTCTAATTTATACATTTTTCTTAATTTATATACTTATTTATATTTGTGTGTTAACTATTATGTGTTTATTTGTGTTAAGGTTATATGGGTTTATATTTTGTAATTGTAAATATCTTTCATATATGAAGTGTTTTTATCTTTGTGATATAATGTTATTTGTTTATAGTTTGTAAGTGGTTATTATTTTGTTTGCATGGTTTCAAATTGTTGTGACTTGGCTTAGTTTACAGCAAGCGTGTTGACCTTGGTAGCCAAGTGGTGTACTTTGCTATAATGTGACTTGGTTTTGTTGGGTGCAAGATTGTTGTCCATGCCAGTTAAGTTTTTATCTGTAAAAGTTTTGCAACTTTTACTAATTTTTTTTATTGCTTTTTTTGATCAAATACTAATAATATTTTGTCAATAACTATTAATAACAACATTAAATATAAAGCATTACTTCGTTATAAAGATTATATCTATTTATTTGTAACTTTAAGTTAAGTTCTTGAAAGCAACACAGGTTTTCTCAGAAGACGCGTGCAATCGCACGCCTTGAATGACTATGCATATATTTTTTGTTTGTTGATAACTTGGCCACGATTTTTTTGTATATATTAATTTGTCATGTTATTGTATTTTTCTTATTAACAATTAATTTTTATAAATGTTAATGAGAAAATAAAAACATAAAAATAGTATATATATATATATATATATATATATATATATATATATATATATATATATATATATATATATATATATATATATATATATTAATATATTCATATATTAAAAAAAAAAAACTTTTAATATATGAAGAAATAAAAAATTTTAATATATGACATCAAATACAAAAAATTTTTTTTTAGTATTTGACGTCACGGTAGACTTTTAACAAATGAAACTCTGGAAATATTTTTATTTGTTTTTATTCGAAATTTTTTTGATTATTTGTTTAGTTTTTTTTTTTCTATTTTAACATTGCACCATATATTTAATGTTTATAAATGATGAATATTTCTTATCCCAATCAAGATTCAGATAAAAAATTCTTTAATATTAATTACCCGTATAAAATTAGTAAAAGAATTTTTATTTGCTTACACATTATTTTGTCTCAATTTGCTTTGCATGAAGTTTGGGAAGTCCAACAAGAAAAAACTTAATGTGAAAAATCATGTCGAAATATATTTAAAACAAACGATTTTAATGACAGGGGTTTAAAAGTCTTTTTGTAAAAATGTAAGTAGAAAATAAATAACTAAATAAAATTTTAACAATAAACATCTTTTTTTATTATATTGCAACTGTAAATATTGAAATATTAATTTAAACTAAATTCACTTATTATTTAGAACAACTAAGCAATTAATAAAAGTTGCGATTTTATGTTGTTTAATTGATTACTGTTGTGATTTATGTTGTTTATGCAGATTATTTTCATCGATATCAAAATAGTCCCAGATCTGTTAGTTGATCTGCTCATTGTTGATCTATTTCTAATTTAATTTTATCTCTAAGTTTAATTCTATGTTAAGAAAGAAAAGTTTTTATTACATCATTCTTTTTATAAAAGCTTTATAAAAGTTAAAAACTTTTTTTTATATAAGCGCGCTCTTTTTATAAAAAAGTGGAACAAAAGAGAAAGAAAAGTTTCAAGTAATTAAACTTTGAATGAATAAGAGTTGTATAGAATATTTTTTTTGCATCACTCTATCTTTTTTTAGATAGGAGAAATAAAAGTTTAATTGTAACTTTTCTTTGAATAAATGGGAATTGAAAGAGAAAATTGCCTAAAAACTTGTATTTGTCAATTTTGTTAGTTTTTTAATTTTCCATGTTAAGAGACAAATGCCAAATACGACACAATAATTAGGAAATACCAAATATAATACGTTTTTTAACGCTGAAAAATAAATTTGGGAAATACCAGTTTATTTTTCATTTTTTCATAAATTTGGGAAATACCAAATTTATTTCAAAATTTGGGAAATACCAAATATAATACGTTTTTTAATTGTTAATAAAGTAAGAGAATATATAATCAGAATATATAATACTGCGCTCTCTTGCACAAAAACGAAAGACTGTATATAAAACGTTCTATATAATGTAAAATATTTGTATGAAAATCATAAGATTGGTAAGTAAAGTTTTAATATTTGTTTTAATTTAAAAACAATAGAAATATAAGTAAGATATATAAATCTAAAAAATATTAAGATATCTGTAAAAAATAAGTTGCTCCTATAAAATAAAAATAATTTATTGTTTTTATTTTTCGCAAAAATTTTTTTGCGATGTTTGGAAAAATAATACAAATAAATTTGTTTTGCTGTATGTTAAAAAAAAACTACATCGTTCTTTTTGAATTGAAGTAGAAAAACGCAGCTTTGTGTAATTACACTTTTAATTTGTTAAAAATCTACTGTGATGTCAAATACTAAAACTTTTATAAATTAAACGCGCTTTAAAGGAATCGCTAAAGTCTGTAGATTGCAACATATAATTTGAAGACTCCGAGTTTTTGAAGAAAATGGAGAAGGCAACATTGGGCTAAAGCAACAACATTAGTTTTTCTCGATATGCATTCATTATTTATTTTTAATCAGAAAAACTTGGTTCAAACCTTTTTTTTTCTACATTATCTTAAATATGAATACAACATGTGTTGGGAGTTTGGGATCCCTTTAAGTAATAATTATTTTGTTGTGTTGGTTTGACAAGGTTATTACTGAAACTTTTTATATTAGGAGAATTTAAAAAAAGAATGTTTTTTTAAATATATATGAATTAAAATTATTTGTATTATTGTTTTTTCATTTGTTTATGTATTCTTATTTTGGTTAACATATAAATGTATATAAATAAATAAAAATAAGAATTATATAAATGTTTTTATTTAGACATTAAAAAAAGAAAGAATTATTTGTCTTTCTCCTAATATAAAAAAAATCAATTAGAACCTTTTTTATTTTTGTTTTAGTAAAAAAAATCATTTGTTTGGTTTGTTTTAAAATGCTACAAAGTACTTACATTTAAATGTATTTCTTATTTAAATGATTCAATTAAGTATTAAATAAGTTGTAATACTAAATAATTTTTTAAAGTTGCTCATGGTCTTAAGGAAAAACTATTTTCGATCTGCTAACTTACATGAATGTTTGGAAAAATCACTCAGGAAGAGTGCCACCAGTTTTAAAAATTTTTCTTTTTTAATTATTTTTAATGAATGAGTTCAATACTTGTGCAATTCTTTTGTTATGTAAATCTAACTAATAACATAAAAAAAAAATTTTATGATTATGTAAGTGATTTAACATAACTAAAATATACAGTATCAAAAAAACAAGGTTATTTTCCTTAACCGGTCAACTCTAATAAATTTTTATATATTTTTAAAATTAGTATATCTCAACATCTTGTGAAAGTTTCTAATACAAACCACTTTACTGATTCACAGAAATCAGACCTAAAAGTTGAAGCAAAAAAGCAAAATATGCAACTACAGAAGAATTTCTTCTCTATAGTTTTAATACAATGTGAATAAACATAATGTAAAAAAAAAAAAAATAATCAAAGAATATTTATTTCAACTACTTTAGATTTATAAGTTGCTCAAGCATTGGAAATATAATATTTTATGCACCAGCGAAAAGAAACTTTACTTTAAACCAACTCAGTTTGACTTCCGATTGGTTTCCATAAAAGATTGATTTTATTATTTGACAGACGCAAACAATACCACTTCAATTAAAAGTATGTACCTTGAAAAGGTAGCCTATATAAAAACTAAATTTCTTATATTTATTCATGTAAAGCCTATGTTTAACCTAATTGATTTTAAATTTTAGTGCAATTATAATTATATTTTATGTTAAAAATACGTTTTTGGATCTTTTTTAAAAGAGATCATTAAAAGCATCATTAGTATAAAGTAGAGTTGTCAGCAAATAGAGTCACTTTAGATATAAGGTTCTCAGGAAGATCATTAATATAGATAAGAAACAAAATAAGACCAACGATAGAACCTTAAGGTACCCCAAAATGTAACTGGAAATTGATTTGTGTCTTGTCTCTGACCCTAGCTTATATTCAGTTTCTACTTGTTTTCCTTTAGGTGGTTTCGACATGCAATGATCTCTACAAAACTTTAATCTTAAACATTTTCTTTGGACTCCCCC